CCCCCCTCCCCCAAATAGAAGCTCATTTCAGTATTTTTCTGTTCTCTTTTGAAAACAGCTCATGCCGCTCAAGCGAGATATCATTAAGTGCCGCGATCAGTCCGGAGCTGCTCAGATGGAATTAATGTGGGTCATCTGAAGTAGGTTCGGACCCGAGGACACATATAATTACATAGGAGTATGTGCGTAAGGAGAACCAATAAATTGACATAGGTTAATGAGTAAGGGAGCATCATAGTTTTTCTCGACATGGTGTACTATAACGTATTGGATATGGAATACGATGTAGACTAAACTAAAGCCGCCACTTCGCGTGTGTTTACTTGGTGCATGGATGCGCAATATTAGTCGAGCAATTGAATCATCCATAAAAATTGTGTGCGAGATGCCCAACAAGGAATGCTGTATCATCCCAATTATAAAAACATTGTAAGCGCAAGCCAAACATGGGCGAAGCAGGACTGAGCGTACATGTAAACACTAATTGAAACCAATCTTCGCATTGATTGCCTATTTTGTAGTGGTATCCTAATGAATACTGCACTTAGGCGCTCGTTCATACACAACAGGGTATTCTCAATCTGTTACTATCTGTTACAAGCCCTCTCCGCTGCGTAGCTAATGCTAATCATATCACTTTTAAATGAGACACACCAGCGCAGTAGGATTTGATAAACTAAATTGCTTAGCTTTATTGCCTATCGCGCTGTGCGCGCTAGTGATTGACAGTCCCCGTATGTTGTAGTCGTTCCAAAACCAACCTTTCGAGACCAAATAAATGCCCGTCTTCCTCGACACTCTCGGGGGCGATTTCCCGTATGGCACTCGCAAGATGCAGCAGATAGTCCTTGTTTGGGCCACTCGGTCCTAAATTAGAAGTGAATGTTCCCACAACATGGAGCGAATTTAACCATTTTGTATACTGGTAGAGTTGACCTCAATGGATTTTGCTATCAGCTGAGACATCAGAGTCAGTATGAACACAGATGGAAAATGGAGCGTCGAACTCTATTTGAATTGTCACTAGAGCTCAATATGCGTCTCGCATACCACTAGAGAGAGACACTTATGGTGATATGGTCGAATAAAGCCAAACCAATCAGTGTCCTTAGCGAAGAAAAAAAATATATATAAAAAATATATATATATTGTTATCTGGCTATCCAACAGGATAATTCATAAACACCCACCGATTGAAGATGCTATAATGTCGGCCAATTCCTCTTTGGGTTGCGGTCCGATGTAATCCTCGTTGTCAGGCGTTCCACAGTATACAAATGTCTGACATAAAAACATAGCAGAAATTTACTTCAATATGAGGGAAAGTTCGCACATTGCTACTGTAACTCGGAAGTTATGCCTTTGTAACTTGAATTTATGCCTTGCAAGTAATTGTATCTCAGGGAAGCCAGCGCGTTGATGTAACTTTGACTTAAATAAAAGAAAACAGTTGTAGCATGAATAGGAAAACATTCAGCAAATTCTATAGTAAAGAGAAAGTTCAACACGGGAAAATTGTCGGGCTACAGTGAATTTAGCTTTCTCAAATGCTCGACTGGATTACACATACCGTGTGCGACGACCGGTTGTAGTGGGCTCTGGGATGGAATTCTACTTCGTGACACGTATAGCCGCCTTTCTCTCTCTCGTCTAGATATTCTAACACCTCACGTACGTGCGCCGCAGAAACCCTGTAGGCTACACCCCACGTCTCACTCTTTAGATATAGTGAATGATAGGAACACGGTTAACATAAGTACTGTCATTAGTGGGCAAGACCGTTAGCTGCTTCGCAGGGGTAGCCGACTTTCCCAGCGATATGGGCATTCAAATTTATATGAGTTGAAAGCTACCACCATGAACATTGATCACCGGACAAATGTAAAATCGACAGAAGTGCAAAGCAACATCCACGGAAGAAAGACACCATCCAAGCTGACGGCAAGTCATGACTAAGTTCAAAGTAAACATTGGCCGCAAAAAATATCAAATCAGAACCAACTGCAATAAGCGTACCGCCTAGAACCAGCCATGCCTGGCCACCAATATGACTCGTGCACTCTGCATATAAAACTACTAGTACATTATTCGAATCTGGTGAGTGTTCGTTCAGGTATATGTTCATGAAGATTATCGTCTCACCTCTGCATCCTCTATCAGTGTGCATACACGCCCAGGCATTCCAGGTACACCACGATGGTCCGTACTCCCCTGCCAGAACCTTCGCTTCCAGCCAGAAATCTTACCTACCACACGCTCAACAGGTGCGCGCGGAAAGGCGACTTTCCATATTAGAGAACCGTACCCAAATATGAATATATCCCCATCATCTAGCGGCTGCTTCTTAGCGGCATACTGTTCCCATACAATCAGACCATTGGACCTTGCTTGTGTTGATACAAGGCAGGCGGGTAAACAGGTAGATCAGTATGTGAGAAGCCACGTGTGATATATTTGCCTCAAAAGAGTAGGTGCATCAAAAAAATTATTACGTAGAAGT